TCTGGGGGGGCTGAGGATGATGTGGGGGGGTCCAGTGTGATGTGGGGGGGCCCCACACCCCCCCCTTGCTAAGTAAAGGGGTCTCCTCACCTCATATTGGTCGTAGGCAAACATGGAAGCCCACCACGCACGCATCTCCGGGTTGGTGAAGTCGGGGTAGGCCGCCGAGCCTGGAGACAAGATGGAGGTCAACGTGGGGGGCCCCCCCACAACAACGACGCGATACCCGTTGTCCACCTTGATGTGGGGGTCCACGATGCTCACCATCTTGGGGGGGGGGACACACATTAATACTTGGGGGGGGGGGTCCCCAAAACCCCCCCAAAACCCCTTTTTAGGGGTGTCCCCCCCCCTCAAACCTTGCGTTTCTTGGCGGCCAGGCGTTCCAACATGGCGCGGGGTTGAGGGAACTTGCTGGGATCCCAAGTGAAGTAACGTTTGCCGTCGGCGTGTTCGATGTCCAACCAGAGGACGTCGCAGGGGACGGCGTGCTCCTCGAAACCCCGCTCCACCGCCGCCACGTCCTCCTCGTCGTTGTAGTTCCAACGGCTCTGGTGGTAACCCAAGGCGAAAAGGGGGGGCAAGGATTGGGTACCTGGTAAAAAAAATAAAAAATTAAAAAATTTAGGGGTGGAGGGGGACAACCGGAGGAGAAACGGTGAGGGACGAGGCGGGGAGAAGGCCTCAAAGATGGCGGCGTCCCTCAAGGAGTCAAGGGAAGGCCTCAAAGATGGCGGCGTCCCTCGAGGAGTCAAGGGAAGGCCTCAAAGATGGCGGCGTCCCTCGAGGAGTCAAGGGAAGGCCTCAAAGATGGCGGCATCCCCCCAAAACCAAGACCCTTGCCTCAAAACCAAAGACCCTTTCCCCAAGAACAAAGACTCTTCTCCCAAAACCGAAGACCTTTCCCCCCAACAACCAAGACCTTTCCCCCAAAAACCAAGAACCCTCTCCCAAAAACCAAGACCCCTCTCCCAAAAACCAAGACCCCTCTCCCAAAAACCAAGACCCCTCTCCCAAAAACCAAGACCCCTCTCCCAAAAAAACGAGTCCTTTTCCCTCAAGAACAGAGACTTCCCCCCAAAAACGAAGACTTTTCCCCAAGAATGAAGACCTTTTCCCAAAAAAACCAAGACTTTCCCAAAAAAAAAAATGAAGAACCTTTGAAGATTCTCCTAAAAGATGCCGAAACCAAAATCTTTCCTTTCCTCTACTCCTGTGTTTCCTTTTCCTTTTCTAATTAACTAATGCCTCCAGCTTTTAATTAACCACCTTAACTACCTTAACGTCTTCTACGCCCAATCGTTGAGCAGTTAATTATTCATTTAATTAACATTTGCCCTTCAGACCTTGAGATTTCTCTCACTTTAGGCTTCGCCCTCGGGGATTCACGGGTCATTTCCGAGCGGCCATTTCCCCGAGTCACCTCTTTCCTGAATCCCAGGTGGTTTTTCCTCTCTTTTTCCCCCAAAATGGGGATGAAATCGGGGGGGGGGGGGGGGGTGCGTCCCCTCCCTTTAACCCCCCCTCCCTCCCCCCCAAAAATGGGTCATACCGGTGAGGGCGGTGTATTGTCGTGCCACGTCGGTGGGGGAAGGCCCCAGAAGCAAAAAGACGTCGATAATTCCGCTTTCCGACATCCAACGCACGTCGGTTTGGGGCGTTTCTCCTCCTCCTTGCATATAATCCATCAACTTCCCAAAAAGAGTCTAGAAAGATGACAAAAATAGTCAAAACGCCCCCAAAATACCCCCCCGAAACGGCTCCCCCAAGGTCTGCCCCACACCTTGCCGGCGGTGTTGGAGCTGATGTCCACCCAAGTCTCGGCGGCGTTGAGCCAGAAGATGCCCAAGGTTCGTCGAGAGCTGTGGGCCACCAAGAAGGGGACGGAGCCGTAAAGGGCCATGGGGTTGTAAAGCTCATACTGGAAGACGTCCAGGTTGTAGAGACGATAGGGATCCCCCCCCCTGTGCAAAAAAAAAAAGGGGGGGTCAACGTGTGGAACCTCTTATTTCAACCCCCAAAAATATCCCACAGGCCGCGGCCTACTCGGTGGTTCGGAGCCTTAGGTTGTCAGCGTGTTCGGGGATGCCGTAAACGTGCTCGAAGCCGGGTAAGGAGAAGTCCAGCCCCACTGATGTGGGTCCTACGGTGGGGTGACAAGGTGGGGGGGGTCAAATTAAGACCCCCCCACCCCATATCATCACCCTTTCCTTGGTGGTCATGGGGATGATGGGTCTCACCGTTGGGTTTGGTGTCCGTGTGGGTCTTAAAAGTCTCCTCCCAAGAGCCTGGTTCTTCTTCCGGGGGGGTCTCTGGGGGCTGTGGGGCAGGAGATGTGGTTCTGTGGGGAGAAGGGGTGCCCCCCTTCAAAAAAAAAAAGGGGGGGACACTCCATCTCCTTGGTTGCCCCCCAAAAATACCTTCTCGCCCTGGTTGTCCTCCGTCCCACCGGCCCCTTCCTCCTGCCCCACGTCGGGAGACGGGGTGTCATCTTTGGGGGGGTCCCTGTAGG